GTCCCGCGTCATCTCGAAGCCCAGAGTTGCGAGGATGTCTCAGACGGGCTGGACCACCTCGCGCGTGTCATCTCGAAGCCCAGGGTTGCCAGGATGTGTCAGGCGAAACCCGCCGGACCATCGAGCGCGGCTTCTCAGAGCCCAGAGTTGTGAGCATGTCTCAGTGGTAACGGGCCGGACTACCTCGCACCAGAGTTGCGAAGATGTGATGTCTCAGGCGAAACGGGTTGGACCACCTCGTGCGCAGCATCTCCGAATGCAAAGGTGCGAGGATGTCTCATGCGGCGCCCATACTGCTCCCAGAGTACAATTCGACGACAGACATGGAATCAAACGGTTCGTTCGGGTTTGACCTCTCCCCCCCTCCATCTCGGAGCCCACAAGTTTGACGAGGTCTCATGCGACACGGGCTGGACCACCTTGCGCGCAGCATTCCGGATGTCTCGGACGATTTGCATCCGACCACCTCGCGTGCATCATCTCGGAGTCCTGAGTGGCGAGCATGTTTCAGGCGAAACCCGCCATACCAACTCTCGCGCGGCATCTCGGAGTCCAGAGTTGCGCATCTCGGAGCTCAGAGTTTCGCGGATTTCTCAGGCGAAACGCGCTGGACCACCTCGCGCGCGGCTTCTGAGAGCCCAGACTTGCGAGGATGTCTTAGGCGAAACGGGCTTGACCACCTCGCGCGCAGCATCTCGGTGCCCAGAGTTGCGAGGATGTCTCAAGCGAAATTCCCTGGACCACCTCTTGCATGGCGTCTTGGAGCTAAGAGTTGGGAGGATGCCTTCGCGCCAGACCACCTCTCACGCGGCATCTCGGAGCTCAGAATTTCGCGGATTTCTCAGGCGAAACGCGCTGGACCACCTCGCGCGCAGCTTCTGAGAGCCCCGTTTTGCGAGGATGTCTTAGGCGAAACGGGCTGGACCACCTCGCGCGCAGCATCTCAGTGCCCAGAGTTGCGAGGATTTCTCAAGCGAAATGCGCTGGACCACCTCTCGCATGGAGTCTTGGAGCTAAGAGTTGGGAGGATGCCTACGCGCCAGACCACCTCTCACGCGGCATCTCGGAGCTCAGAGTTTCGCGGATTTCTCAGGCGAAACGCGCTGGACCACCTCGCGCGCGGCTTCTGAGAGCCCAGACTTGCGGGGATGTCTTAGGCGAAACTGGCTGGACCACCTCGCGCGCAGCATCTCGGTGCCCAGAGTTGCGAGGATGTCTCAAGCGAAATGCGCTGGACCACCTCTCGCATGGCGTCTTGGAGCTAAGAGTTGGGAGGATGCCTACGCGCCAGACCACATCGCACGCGGCATCTCGGAGCTCAGAGTTTCGCGGATTTCTCAGGCGAAACGCGCTGGACCACCTCGCGCGCGGCTTCCGAGAGCCCAGACTTGCGAGGATTTTTTGGGCGAGACGGGCTGGACCGCCTCGCGCGCAGCATCTCGGTGCCCAGAGCTGCGAGGATGTCTCGAGCGACATGCGCTGGACCACCTCTCGCACGGCGTCTTGGAGCTAAGATTAAGTCGGGCCTGTCCATCTACAGGGGGAATATTCAAAAATAGTCCGAATGTCCGGGGACTATTTTTTGAGTTTGTTTGAGGCATCTTTGGAGTATTTTTGGGGGTATTTTTAATTATTCGTCCAAAATCCCCCTGTAGGGGGACGGGCCCGACTTGAAGCTAAGAGTTGGGGGGATGCCTGCGCGCCAGACCACCTCCCACGCGGCACCTCTCGGAGCTCAGAGATAGATTTTCGAGCAGATGCTTCCGGCGAGAGACGCGCCGGACCACCTCGCGCGCGACCTCTGAGAGCCCAGAGTTTCGAGGATGTCCCAGGCGGATCGCCCAGTCTCAAGAGGAGAAAAACACACAGACACAATTAATCGTCCATTCCCTCGGAAATATGGGAAAATATGGGCAGTGGGGGGGAAGACGAAAGCCCCAAACATATTTGAACATATAAGGGAATATTGTTATGTGTGTGTGTATTTATTTGTGTGTCCCAGGGCCCCTTCATTCTGAGAGCCCAGAGTTTCGAGGATGGCTCGGGCGGATCGCCCAATCCCCGACAACGCTTATGTCGGGCCTGTCCCTCTACGGGGGGAATATTCAGAATAGTCAAAAAAGAGTCTGGGGACTATTTTTTGAGTATTGTTGACAATTTGGGGGCATTTCTGGAGTATCTTTTTATTTTTCGTCGGCAATCCCCCTGTAGGGGGACGCGCCCGACCTAAGACAGCGCAGACCGAAGACTTTGTGAGGACATCTCGGGCAGAGAACGGCCCAGACCACCTCCTAGCAGTGAGGTTCGCCTGCGCGCGGGGGTCCCGCGGGCGGAACGAACTCCCCTCACAGCAGCGCCCCCGTCGGCACAGCCGCCCGGGGAGCTGCAGGGGCACGCCTCCGTCTCCGCCGTGTTCTCTGCTGCACCCTGCCGCGCGGGGCGCTCCAGAGAGGGCCTCTCGCCCCCGCGACACCGAAGGTTTGCCTCCCCCTCCTCCTCGGCGAGAGGCGGCGGGAGTGAAACGAGGCTGCCTCCGCCGGCGGAAGCAGCGATCTGTAGATTACATTTTGCTGGGGGAGCGGCGACGACGACGACGAGGACTCAAACGGAACAGCCCCTCACAGACGCCGACAGGGTCGGCGGATTGTTTGTGGGTCCAGTCCTTCCGGAACCTGCCATACTGGCACCACAGGGAGCTCCACCTACGGCGCCAGCGAGGGCGCCCGCACAGCGTCGCCCTGCTCATTTCGGCACAGTCCTCGCGCGGATCGTGCCCCACGGGAAGTCCCACGTACGGCACCAGTGAGGTCGCCCGCGTAGCGTCGCACCGCCCATTGAGGCACACCCTTCCGAAGGATCCTGCCCCGTGGAGAACTTCACCTACGGCACCAGTGACGATGCCAGCATAGCGTTGCCCTGCCAACTTTTGCACACACCCATATACACCCATTCGAAGAAGAAACAAAAACACATAAACATAATCTTTTGGCGCGCCGCGCGGATTTCTTGGATCCGCGCCCGGGCTCCCCAGCGGCGCCTCCAGCACCGCCCCTGGCGCGTTCCGCGCGCCAGGGAGGGGGGGCCCAGGCGCGGATCCAAGAAATCCACGCGGAGCGCCAAAAGTTTGTGCTTATGTTTTTTTCCTATCTACATTTTGCACACACACACACACGCACACACACGCGCCTCACATGTATAATGTCCATCGCATCACCTACCAGAGGGCGCCGAGCCAGCGTACCCCCCCTAGCTGCACACTCCAGCACATGCTCACACCGATCTTGCGCCACAGGGAGCTCCACTCACACAAGGCACCAGCATGGGCGCCAGGCACACGGCGCCACGCCGCCGAGTTCGGCACCCCCCCCCAGGACAGCGAGCCGTGCCCCCCCAGGAGTTCCCGCTCGCTTCCCCAGACGTGTGCGCCCCGTAGGAAGCTCCACCTGCGGTCCCAGGGTGAGGCAGGCGCATGCCCGCCCCCTTTCAATCATGGCACGCTCCGCGCAGATTGTGCCCCTCTTATATGCAGTTCCACCCACACTTGCGGCCCCAGTGGGAGCGTCCGCGTGCGAGCATCCGCTCACTCTGGCACATTCCTCACACCGGTCGTGGTCCACATGGCACCACGCTTGGGTTTCCAGTGGGGTCGCTCGCTTGCGGGCCCCCACGCCCATTTCGGCACACCGCTCACGCAGATGGTGCCCACGGGGAGTTCCACTTGCTGCTCCAGTGGGGGCGCCCGCGGGCCGAACTGCGTTGCCCGCAGCTGCATTACATGATGGCCCTCCGTAAGGATGACTTGGTGTGTTGAGTTGGATATCGTCACTCATTGGCTTATTGGTGCCCTGGGTCCCCTCCGCAAGCTGGCCTGCTGCGCCTGCTGTGCACAATTACTGCTAGACAGAAGTGCATACGCCTCCTCTCGTGCCACTTCGGTGTGGAGTGCGCAAGTTCTGTCTTTACCTTGCATGCGGGATTCCGTAGCTGTTCTTTCGAGGGAGTGACAAAGTTGCATTCTTGTGATTTGAATGCAGAGTTGTACCTCGAGATGACAAGTTTGAAGTGGGGAGGCTTCTTTGCAGCCGAAATCGCAAACAGCTCACAAAGTGTATTACCTGGATGATACAAACGTCACATGAAGTTGGAGGGGTATTCTTACGTAGGCATGTTGTTCTGGGCTCTCCGCCCTGGCATGTTCTTTGGCTGGGTATCTCCACGGAAGGGTCAAGAATTGGGAGGGGTATATTTAGGCATGTTGTTCTGGGCTCTCCGCCCTGGAACATTCTCTGGCTGGGTGTATCCGTGGAGCCTCTGGCCCTTCGACGCAGGGGCTCGTGTCCTTCACCGACGCTCGTGCCGCCGTGCTGCGATCGGGGAGACGTGAGACTCGAGTACGCTGGAGCTCGGGTTTGCCTCCTTCTCCTCCTCCTCCTACTCCTCGTCCTCCTCCCTCCTCCTCCTCCTCCTCCTCCTCCTCCTCCTCCTCCTCCTGCTCCTCCTCCTCCTCATCCTCCTCCTCATCCTCTACTGGGACCGAATCTGCGCTGGTAGGCACCCGAAGTCATCGGATGTCTGGCTTGATGCGGATGCTAACGGCGTGATGCGCCTCTGCCTCTTTAATGTTTCCTGAGGCCGTCTTTCGGCCTAGCCTCTCGTTCTCGTGCTGTGGGGGCGTGGCCTTGGTTGACGGCACGTTGGTATGTATGCACGTCTGTGCCAGCGTTTAAGTGCCGATCTCGACGGCCGCCTGACTCCCAGAGATCAGGCCTACTGCGGGACGCCGTGGGAGAGCAGCGCAGCGGTAAACAAAAAATCCTCCCCTCCTCCTCCTCCTCCTCCTCCTCCTCCTCCTCCTCCTCCTCCTGAGTCCTGGATTTGATACTTCAGTTTTCGTGGGATGTTTGCACTGGGATCTCGCGTCAGACTTCAGATTGGGTCTCGTCAGGCCAACCCGAGTCCCCCCCGTACCCAAGTCTTACGTCTCCCTGATCCGACTGTAGGCGATGAACAGTGGCTTCATGAACGATATCCTGTGGCAGGTCAGCGAAGACTTCTTGACGGACGCGCAGGCGTGCCTGCCTGCGGTCGCGAGTGGGCACGTGCCTCTCGTCTTCAATCCCTCTACAGGCTGGCACCAGGGTTTCTGATAAAGAGCAAAGGAAGTTGCCGCGACAAGAGCTTGTGTCTGTGCTGGCACGGTGCTGGGGTCTCCTGCGGGCATCTGGGGGCCCTTCCGGTCACGTCCAGGCACATCGCGCACCATCGAGGCCATTTCTGGGGCCAATTTGGAGGGCTCCTTGGAGATAATTCGGGGCCTCGCTGGGCCATCTTGGGTGACCGCGCCGAGCATAAACGCCTTCCGACCGTTCAATGCTTTCTCTCTCGGGGGCGTCTTCGGGCTCTCCTGGGCCATCCATCCCTCATGGAGCCATCTTCGGCCGTCTTCGACTCTCGAGGCCTTCTTCGGGGCCTTTAGTGGCGGTCCTGGAGGTATCGTGGGCCCTCTTGGTCACCTGGCGCCGTCCCCGCAGGAACCCTAGACCCAGAGCGGCCAAGAGGCTGCGGGACGCCCCTTCGGGTGGCTTTTTTGTTGGAGCGTCGGGCCTCCCAAGTAGAGGGCAGAATGAACACAGGACCAGGGAGGCGAGAGGAAGAAAACAAACGGCGTGAGAGCGCACGAGACGGCAGTTTGGTATTATAAAGGGGAGGTTTTGGGCCATATTCGGTCCTCGTCGGGCCAACTGGGTGATTTCGGCGTCATCTTGGGGCTGTTCGGGGCCACAGAGTCCGGGGACCTTGTCCTCGTCCTCCTCCTCTTCCTCCTCCTCCTCCTCCTCCTCCTCCTCTTCCTCTTCCTCTTCCTCTTCCTCATCTTCCTCCTCCGCCTCCTCCTCCTCCTCCGCCTCCTCCTCCTCTTCCTCCTCTTCCTCCTCCTCCCCCCCCTGTTCCAATTCCTCTTGAGGCCTGATAGCCCACTGGGCGCCCTCCTTGGGGCGTCTTGGGGGTCTCTTGGAGGCCACTTCGGGGGCTCTGGAGGGCCTGTTCAGGGTCCTCGGGGCCCTGTTGGGATGTCTTGGGGCCCTCTGAGGCCGTGTTGGGGCTCTCTTGAGACGTCTTGGGCACCGCTGGGTCGTCTTGAGGGGATTCGGGGACCTTCTTGGGGCCCCCCTTGGGCCGTCTTGAGACTCCATTGGGCCGTCTTGGGCCTCATCGGCCATCTTGGGGCTTCCTGGGGGCCTCGTGCGCCGTTTTGGGACCATCTTGGCCGCTTTGGACTGCCGGAGGCCTGAGAGGCGAGACCGCGGACATACGATACAAACCAGGGGACCTTGCGCGATTTGGGTCTCTGGCAGCCCATCTCAGGGGGTTCCCTCGGGGCCCTCTTGGGGCGTCTCGGGGGGCCGACGAGGCCCTCTTGGCGCCATCTTCTTGGAGCGCCCCGCATCCCCCCGCGAAGCTTAGCAAAAAGCAAGTTCCGCCCCCGCTGCGCCGGCGCCTCCAGGCCCCCACACTGCAAGGTTGCTGCGGAGACGGACGATTCTTATCCTCTTTCTCGGCGTCCGCAGACCGCGCCGCGCGCTCAACTTTCAAGGTTGATGCGGAGTCCTCCTCCTCCTCCTCCTGCTCCTGCTCCTGCTCCTCCTCCTCCTCCTCCTCCTCCTCCTCCTCCTCCTCCTCCTCCCTCCTCCCATTGAAATCTGGGGGCAATGAGGGGGGGGACCACACTTGCTTTCCGCTTCGCGGAGGGACGCGGTGCCACATTCGGCGACCTTTGCCTTTGAAGGCCTCCTTCGGAGCCTCCCGGGGGCCGTCTTCTGGGCTGGGCCCTCCTGGCCGCGCGGCAGCTTCGCAGTGGACGACGACGACGACGACGACGACGACGACGACGACGACGACGACGACGACGACGACGACGACGACGACGACGACGACGACGACGACGACGACGACGACGACGACGACGACGACGACGACGACGACGACGACGACGACGACGACGACGACGACGACGACGACGACGACGACGACGACGACGACGACGACGACGACGACGACGACGACGACGACGACGACGACGACGACGACGACGACGGCGGCGACGGCGGCGACGGCGGCGGCGGCGGCGGCGGCGGCCACGACGACGATGACGACGACGACGACGACGACGACGACGACGACGACGACGACGACGACGACGACGGCGGCGGCGGCGGCGGCGGCGGCGGCGTCGGTGGCGAGGCCTCTTTGACCTTATTGAGGCCATCGTGGGGCATCTTGAGGCCACCTTCGTCAGTTTGATTCTCTTGAGGCCCTCTTCTTAACCTCCTGGGGTCGTTTTCTGGGCTTCTTGGGCCCTCATGGCCGCGTGGTGGCGTCGCAGTGGAACTCTTGGGACAGCCTGGAGCGGCCAGGAACTAGTGGGATCTCACTCCCCAGAGTTTCTTGTTCCGGGCGCCGCGAGCCACCCCTCGTAGAAACACACACCAAACACCACATGAGCATTAAATTGTCGGAGCTCCGCGCAGATTTCTCGGACCCGCTCTGGGCGCCCCTGGCGGTGCCTCCGGCGCCGCCGCCCCTGGCGCGCTACGCGCGCCAGGGAGGGGTCTCCAACGCCGACCCCAAAAATCCGCACGGGCCTCCGACGGTTTATGTGCAGATGCAGTTCGTCATGTCTCGCGCCACCCCCCAGGAAGACAGCACAAGAGGAAGTCAGTGCTGGAGAGGCAGAGAGCAAAGAGCAAGCGGCATCACGCCGAAGAGCACAAGGCAGCAGCCGCGCACGACAGCAGTCCAGCATCATGCCTCACAGCCTGGCGCACCGTGGAGGGCTGGCGGATTCTCCCTCAGCTGCACTGCTTCTCTCCGCGCCTGCACTGATGGTCTGCTGTTCGCCCTGTGGGAAATCCTCTGCCTGGAGCGTGTGGAAGCTGTAGTAACATTGACTGCTTCCAGCACCTGGCAGTGTCCCTGGCTGTTGCCAAAGCTGGCTCACGGCTGGATTCGCAATGTTATTTCCGTCCAAAGTGTTCCGACCTTGTTGTCGTATTATGTGTACGTTGTTCAGCACTTGATTGTCATGGTGAGCTGTGGAGCAGGGGAATGGCCCGAATGGTAAAGGCTTGCGCGATTCGATGGTGTCAGGCCTCATGTGGTAGTCGCATGCAGCCCAGGCCATCGATGGTGGCCTGATCCACAACTTGAGCATCGAGGCGGGTCAGGGGGTCAATTTGAGGAGGCAGGGCGATCCCCAAGCAGCTGAAGATAGTAGGGATTTGGGTCGGGCGGATCTGGCAGAGAAAGAGGGAGGCATAGGCACGGTAAATCTAGACGATTCGTGTAAACTCCACCAACCCATCCAGAAACGATGCCCATACGAGTTTTCTTGATCAGGGATGTGGAGGAGCATGCAGTGTAATAAAGGGTTGGGTAAGGCGTCATATTCCAAGAGGGGGAGGATGGAGGAGGAATCGGAGGAGGAGGAAGAGGAGGAGGAGCAGGAGCAGGAGGAGGAGGAGGAGGAGCAGGATGAGGAGGAGGTGGAGGAGGAGGAGGAGGAGGGAGAGAGGGAGAGGGAGCATGGAGGAGGAGGAGGAACAGGTACATGAGGGAGAGGAGGATGAGGGGAGGAAGAGGAGGAGGAGAGGAGGAAGAGGAGGAGGAGAAGGAGGAGGAGGATGAGGAGGAGAGCAGAAATGCCAGATGCCCCATGATGCCTCTCGGAGTCTCTTCGGATTTCTTGCGAGAGCTTCTTGGGGTCCTCTTGGGGCGTCTTGGAAGTTTCTTGGCCGTCCCGGGAGGGGGGGGGGGGGCTCTGGGGGCCTCTTGAGGGTCTCTCGGGAGCCTCGTGGAGGCATTGTGGGGGCGTTTGCGGGGCTTCTTGGGGCCTCCTGGACATCTCTTGGGATTGTGTTGGGGCACCCTTGGGAGGCTCGGGGGCCATCGTTGGGCCGTCTTGGAGGAGATCGACCAAAGGACGGGACGTACTAAATTAGCCCCCCCAGGAGGTCAAATTCTGACCAACAATTGAGTGACAACGATGTCGGCCTTCTCGCCGAAGCACCTTGGAGGTCTCTTGGGGGCCTCTTCGGGGCATCTTGGGGGCATCTTGGGGGGCCTCTTGGGCGGCCCTCGGGGCCTCCTGGGTACCCTTGGGAGCCTCGGGGGCCATCTAGGAGGAAATCTATCAAAGGATGGGGGCTCCTTAATTAGGGTCCCCCCAGGAGGCCAGCACCGTGGCCAAAATCTTTGTAACATCAGTGGTGCTGGCCTTCGTGCCGAGACATGTTGAGGCGTCTTGTGTGCCCTTGGGGGGCCTCTGGGGGGTCTCTTGGGAGCCTCTTGGGGGCCTCTTGGCGCCTCGTGGGGGCCTCTTGGGGCCTCCTGGGCGGTTCTTGGGGCCGTCTTGGGGCACCCTCGTGAGCCTCGGGGACCATCTTGGATGAGACCGATCAAAGGGAGGGGCCACACCACACTAGCCCCCCCCTCCCCTCAAGGAGGCCAACACGTGGCCAACACCTTAGTAGCTTCAATGATCTGGGCCTCCTCGCCGAGGCCATCTCGGACGCTCAAGCGGCCCGCGAAACCTCCCCTCCAGGTCCAGGGTTTAGTCGGGCCTGCCCCCCTACAGAAGGCATATTCAAAAGTAGCCAGCAACACACTGTATGGAACGTGCTTGTTCGATTAGTTTCCATAATTTCGAGCATGTTTGGTGTATGTATTAGTTTTCGTCCAAAATCTGCCTGTAGGGGGCACGCCCGACATAAGTCCAGGGGGAGGGGGTAGGTGGATGGGCAAACCCTTCCACAAAGGGGAAGACGGGAGGTTGGAAGAGGACACGGTCTCAACCATTCACGCCACAAAGGGCTGGTGTGATTTACTGCGCACGGCGTAGCAAATGCTGTCCACGAGTTCGGTTTTGTTACGGGCCCCAGGCGGTCACTGGTGAGGCCGAGCCCCGTGGGACTCATTCAGTTGTTGTTTCTGTCGACGTGGCTGCTCGAACGTGCCTTGTCGGATCGCCCCAGGGCTTGGACCCAGTGGATATTAACCGAGGGAGGTCTTTAGTTCTTGCCCCCCTGTTTCTCTCGGCGAGCAGTTACATTCGTACGTAGTCGTAGTCGTATCGTGGTCGTAGTCGCAATCGCAGGGGTATTTGTCGTTGTCGTCGTCGTCGCTGTTGTGCGACGGGTGCCGCGGAGAAATACATATTTACTCGGTCTGGTGGAATCCCAGTCCGTCAATAAGGTCGCCGAGCAGGTACTTAGTTTCCAACTCCTTGGGGGCGGGCTAAGAGACCTAACCTGCCCACCTCGGATCCGTGGCTCTTCCATGAGGCGAATGTTCCGTTCGGAGGGGCATCGTCGCTTGCTGAGTCCCCATCAGCAGGCTGATCAGTTATCAGTGAAGCGTGATGCTGGGGACGTCATGCCATCTCGGTCGTTCCACACCCACTGCGTCTGCGACGACGTCGTGTTCTCGGACAGCAGTCTGTCCTCCAGCTGTTTTTCGTAGGATGCCGACGCCGTTGGACGTTCGGATTCAGTTGGAAGTCCCTCTGTGACGCAGCCTACACCTTAGGCGATGCTTAAGAAAACTTAAGTTTTCGGCCAGGGTCTTGATTATTCTTAACGTTTCAATGTAAATCTTAAGATTTTAATAAAAATGTTGGGTTTTTATTCCAGTTCTGAGACTATGAATTTCTTAACCCATGATTTCTTAAGCATTTCGCAGGGTGTAGGCTAGGACGTCGTCGTTTCGCGTTTCGTGTCCCGCGCACGTGCGTGCGAAGTCGTGCGCGAGTGCCCGCGACCGCTGGCTTCTTCGGGGCGCGGCACGCTCGCCGCCCGCCCATTCAAGTTCTCGCCCAGGAGGCGGAGAGGGCTCCAAGGCGGGATGAGCACGTTCCAACAGAGGAGAATGCCCCTACACCTCAGGCGATGCTCAAGAAAACTTACATTTTCGGCCAGAGTCTCGATTATTCTTAATGTTTCAATTGAATTCCTAAGATTTTGATAGAAATTCTGGGTTTTATTAAAATTCTGAGACTATGAATTTCTTAACCCATGATTTCTTAAGCATTTCGCAGGGTGTACCGCACTTGTGTGTTTTGTATTTCTGCCTGCGCTCCATGCTTCCGAGTCGGGTCAGGCATGTTGGGTGGCTGATCGGCGCTCGCCACCAATTTCCAGCGGACCAGTGGCATGGACGTTCGCTCTCTGGACCCTGGCCCACAATGGACCCCAGACGGGCCAAAGACAGCCCAATGAGCGCCAGCAAGAGGTCCAACCAGAAAGGACATCAAACGGGGCCAAGATGTGCCTGAGGCGGTCGTGCAGGAATCGAGGCCGGTTTGGGCCGCGCTGGGGCCGTAATCGTCCAATATTTGACCCCGCAGAGCGTCCAAACGTAGCGAAGTCAGCAAGCTCAGAGGTGCCCCGGTCGGCCTCGCAAGTCCGTTGGGTCCGTTGGAAGAGGCGCCTGGGCGACCCCTGGGGATCGAGACGCAAGCCGTTCGAAGTTTCACGGCTTCGACGTGTTTTTGAAGTTCTCAGTTTGTAAGCGGAGTTGGGCCCAACAGGTTCTGCGGGGGGGCCGTAGCCATTTTTGCTCAAGCTGTGTACACGTGGCAGATCCTCTGCTTCCAAAACAGGACCTCGTACCTGATATGCTCGCAGTGCTGCTTTGTTGATCATGCGCTTCACATGGCTGTCACTGGCGGTGCTCCCGCCTGTCCGTGGATTTTCCGCAGTCAGTCTGTCTCAGACGGAACCAGTGGACAGCAAGGTGAAGAATTCATATAAACCCATCGGGCAAGAAGTTGAAATGGACGAACCATTCGAACGTCGATCAGTTTTCCCTACGAAGGCGAACTGCAACGAGGAAAGCTGGACGATTCTTAAGTTTAAGGTGTCTGGCGGAAAACACGTCACGTTCTCGCAGAAGCCGTGGATCGTGCTCCGCGGGGCAACATTTCCCAGCTCGGCCGAGGCGCAGGAGGTGGCGCTTTGGTCGATGAGGCGCCATGTGGTGGAACCTCTTGAAGGGGGCGTACGCTTTGAACTCGGTTCACGTGCACCTGTGTTCGCCCCCACGGGGCGAACCGTCGACTCGTGGCGAGCCTTAGAAGTATTTCGGGGCCGCGATCGGCGACGTCAGCTCGCGGGAGCTGAGCAAGGCAGAGCAGCATCTGTAGTAGGGCCAGTACAGGTCTTGCCTGGCTGACGTGCCCAACGACGCCGGGTTCGCGCTCATCCTGCGGCCAGGCTTGGTTTTTAAGGAGAGTTTGAGCTCTGATCGTGCTGTGTCCCCCGACATGTTCTATTTCCAGGGGAACTTCTTCCACTCTTGCGTGAATCGGGAGATCGCCGATCATATTCATCTAGTGGGGGGCAACTTGATCCCATAGTTGAAAGACAAGTGGAACAGCGAGCAGATGGGGGCAGTCAAAGCGGGGCAGGCATGCTCGGGTACTTTTCACCTGATGTTCAAGTGGGCCGCGAACGCCTTTGGACAAGAGCGCTCGGGATATCTGGTGGAATATCCCGCCACGAATAGTTTCTCTCTGGGTAGCGGCGAGCATCCGCGATGGCACTAATGCGGCCTCTGCAAGCAGCGTCACCTAATACTAATGGCACTAATCCAGCATCTGGCACTAATGGCACTAATACGGCTAATACTAATACGGCTTTTACCCCGGGGCGATGCAACACGGCAACGTCACGAACCCGGTGTTCACCTACGACCGCTTGATCAGTGCCGACGGCGAGGCGTCGTGCAAATGGGACTAGATTGCGGGGCTCAGGCGCGCGGGCGAAGCGATCGCGCAGGTCATGAGGGATCCTGTGAGGTCATGGTTGTTCTGTGCGGGTATGGTGCTGTTTCTGCGGTGGGGCGTTTGGCCTCTTCGCAGCGCCGGGAGGCAGCGTTTGGCTGTGTCTCGTCTTCTCTCGCTTTTTGCATTTAGCACTGCACGGTGCCGAGCAGGAGTCGGAGGAGGAGCAGGAGGAAGAGGATACAATCTAGGAAAACCAGAGCAGTTCAAATTTCATCGATTCGCGTCCCAGCCGAGCGAGCTCGAGTCAAACGCACTGGCGGCAGGCGGCGGCGACTTACCACATCTTGGGCAAACTTGTGAAATATCGAGTGGCGTCGGGTGGCGTCGAGTTGCCGCCACCCGTAGTAGCTGTCTGGCCTCTCGGCCCTCGCCAAC